CGGATGCAAACAGCCGCGACGCGTGGCTCGTTTTAGAACCGCCGTGATATTTCACGGATTACCGAATATTTGCGCTACGTTTCACGGTGCTATCTCGATCTATTCGCGTCGTTCCGTAATCAGTCCTCCGCCTTTTTTTCCACATCCCCTCCACCCTTCGAAGAGTTCCTATCGCCTCTGTCGACTCGGATGAAAAAAATGCCAGAGGTTGATGGATGAGAGTTCACCGGCGATCTAATCGATGGTTCTCACCAAGAAAGAGCAAAAAAAGCCATGATTTGGCTCTTGAAATCCACGACGATACGCGGATATTCTCTAACACACAGGGTGTTAATACAAATGTCGGTCGCTAAAAAAGAAAAAAGGAAGAAAATCTAAAGTCTATGTTAGATCACTTTAGTCCTTGTGTGGGCAACCAAAATATTCACGATTATTGAGTAATCGGAATACTACTATTCTGACAGATTAAATAAGCATAGATGATTTTAATTTCATACTTTTCCGAAAATCTTAGTTTTCCCATCCTACAATATACCAAATGCTGTTTTAGACAGGAACATAAAAAATTGTGAAAAGAAATTTAGAAATGGGTACATGGTTGCCTACACAAGGGTTAATAAGACAGTAAATGTGTTATAGTAAGACAAATTTAAAGAAAGGTTCGAAGGGTTAAAAGTCGATGTTCGTTCGTCGAGGAAGGGTAAAGAAATAAAGTGTACGAGAGCAAGAGTTTCGAGTGATATTATTATTTATTCTCTTCGTGATCGTCCGTCGCGCGTACGGTCGGTTTGTTCAGCGGCTGGTTTATTGACAATAAAACGATCGATTAGCTTTCAACGCGATTCCAATGATACAAAAAACGAAAAACGACGCACGGGAACCGGGACGGGGGTCGATAAAGGTGTGTAATAAGGCAGTCTCAGGGGACCAGACGAGCTCGATATGTCCGTGGAGAACCGATATCGAGTTGTCGCTGAAGAACCCCGTGGTGAATTAGGCCCCCCGGTAGATTTTCCCGATATCGAGGATACTACTTGTACAAGAGTAAAACTAACCACGTTCGGCGATTCATCGTTCGTACAGAAAAACGTGAAACACGTTTTTTCGGAGGCAGGAGGCATTCTTCGACGATCGTGAAAATATGATTTTCAACGCTCACGGTCAAGGTCACGTTCGTATTAGATCGTTAGATCGATGACCTCTGATTTAGATCGCTATAAGTGAAAAAAAAACACTGTCAGTCGAATCTTTTTCTGGGATCGCACACTTCGCTACTTGAACGAACGCGATGGAAGTTAACGATATTTTATTTCGTTCCACTTATAGCGATCTATAGGAACTTTACAAGATAAAACAGGGAAGAATTCGTAATCTTCATGGAAATAAAGCCTAATGTGGTTGCTTGAGTACTTGAAATTTTCTTAATCGAACGAAACTCTCTCGATGCATTTGTTCCTCTCTCATTTCTGCTTTCGCAAACGATTCAACAGAAGAACAAAAACGTGATTTTGGTCATCCATCCGTCCGGTATCGCTACTTGTCGCTATATCAAAGTGAATGATCGTCGCACATCCAAACCCGAGGGTATTTCCCCCAAAAAAGTGTATACCCGAAACAAAAACGCGTCTCATTCCATCCACCATCCCCCCTCCCGTTGTTTCCACCCTTTATCGTCTGATCACGGAACCGTACGAGGGATACAGTTGTACGATTAATATAGAAAATATTGTTATTGGTATTTACAGAACGTACAAAACTATAACACGTTCTAGCTCGGACGATTAATGAGTAGAACGATATTATTATTATTCTCGATCCGGCGGTGTACCGTTTCGTCTCGATAACTGCACGGGGTATTTTATTATCGTTATTATGATTAGTTGATAATAGATTTCGTATCTCTTCCTTCGCGGGATAAGTGCTCGAGGAACAACGAAAAAGAAAAGAAGGGCGTACGTTACAAGAACAAAATAAGAGAAAATATAGAGAAATTAGTACGAGAGTACACGTTTCGATTCGTCGAAAACGTTGACTCCTGAATTCTACGTAATCCGAAAGTGGGTGGGGGGTAAGGGAGGGGTGAAAAAGCGTCTATAAAACGATAAAACTGGCACGATCGAATGATACAAGGATTACAAGATATACAACGATGTGTCACACACACACACACACACACGTTTGACTTAGACCGTTAATTAACCTCCAAGTCAGCTCTACGATAACCGCTCGGGGGTGGTACTCTCTCTCTCTCTCTTACTGTGTGTGTGCACGTGTCCTCTTACAATTAATTGAGCGTTAGGCAGCTCGTAGTGTGTGTCTGTTCGAATAAGAGTGCGGAAACGCTTATAAAAACGAAGGCGTAAAGTATTTACATATATCGTGTGATGGTCGAGAACGTGTATCGAATGGAACTCCTCGGTTGGTCGTTCCCTCGCCGCGCGCGTTTCGACACACGTTTATCTCGTGGGCACGGGAACACCCTTAGCTGCCGTTAAACTCGAACATTCTCTGCTCGAGAACCGTTCAAAAAATAATCCCCTCTTCTTTGAACAGGAATTCATCGAAACGTTTGCATGTAAAAAAAAGAATGTTAAAGAATCTAAGAAAGTTTGTTGATATTCTTCGAGGATCGACGTAATTAGTTAGAATTCTCGGATATTGGAAAACTTATAACTGACTGTGAACAATAGAAAATAATGTGTATTCTCTCCTATAGATCTGTTTCTTCCGTGATATAACGGATCGAAACTGAATATCGGACGTGTTAACCCATGCTGCTCTCCTAGAGCCTACTATACGACTCGAAATGAAGATTATATTTCGATAGGTATTGTATATTTAAATATTTGTTTGTGGTATCGCAACGTATTTAAATTTCACGTTTACATTTTTGCGTATTTTCCATTACTTAAAAACAAGTCATTTCGAAATTTGAAATAATTGTATTCAATGGTGTACACGCAAACGGTAGCGGAGGAGAACACAGCAGGGTTAATGGTAGGATGCTCGAGGAATCGATTCGTTCACGAAAGTATTCACATCCAACGTTGAAAAATATGAAAAAAAAAAAAAAAAAAAAAGAAAAATTATCGCACTCTGTGTAAATGCTTCGTATAAAATGCCGGAAGATAAGGATATGTCTTAAAGGTGCGTTCGCGATACTCGTGAACAGTATGGCTCATCGAACATCCTGACCTAATATACCGTTTTTAATGGAACGCAAAAAAACAGTATTTATATCGACGATATCACGGACGAAATAAATCCATAGGTAGAAAGATAGACAGATCACGCGAAGGCTATTCAATTTTTCTTCTTTTCTGAGCCGCGTTCGCGTGACTCATTCTTCCGAGAGAATTAGAAGAAAGGAACAAGAAAACAATGAATCGAAATGGTGTAAAGAAACGCGAAGGTTTCGATCGAGATAAGTGTGAAAACAATGAAACGATAGAAAAGGACAAGTAGATCGTAAACGTTAGATCATTCTGCAGCTAAAGCGTTGAGACGGCGCAACCGGAAGTGGATGGCCGAAGAAAAATCGTACGCACACTCACTCTCCCTTACAAAAATACGTTGGACGGAACCGACGACGAGTCTTTTCTCGTGCTTACTCTCTTTCTCTCTCTCTCATATATAATATATATATTTTTTAAATGATTTTCTGTCATTTCAGTAAAACAGCGTTACAATTCGCGTAATATAGATCGAGTTTTGAGCGCTCCGGATCGTTACTCTCGACCATCGTTGTGTTCCATCGAGAATTCTTGCGGGATCAAAGAAGTAAAGCAACCAGCCCCTCCCAAAAAAAAACTCGCGTACAATCCCTCTTTATGTGGTCTGGTGTTCGACCCAATTCGATAATGCCTTCCTTAATATTCCCTCTTCTTCTTCCCGTCGAACAACGGACTCCACGGACTTCAGGTCTATTATCGATGGAAACTAGCAAGGAGTTAACATGGAGCCACAGGAAAAGTATCTTCGTGGTCGTGTTCTGGTTTGTAAAGGCAATTTTACTTGATATCACATGGTATAAAAAACACAGACTGTTCTCGTAAAATCAGGTGGGGGTGAGGTACAATTTTTTTTGTTTCTTGTTATTTTTTTCTTACAAAACGGATACATGCGCCCTCGAGCTCCACCTTCGATTCCTCCTCACCCCCGCCGAGTAAAAAATATCGAAGAACTCCGTGGATTAGAACAAATTCATAAAAACGCCGATTCGAAAATGCGCGGGGAGGGGCGGGCAGGTTGTTTTGGCCTCCCTCTCGGCACCCGTGATCAAATATCAACGATCGGAATACTGATTGAACGCTCTTTCTTGATCTTGTATGTTATCCTTGAACGCAACACGCTTTCCCCTTTTCCCCCGATTTAAAATCATCTACACGACTCTCGATCTGTCTTCCTCGGGTCTTTGTTGTTTCGACAAGACTGCACACGCGATCACATGTCGACTCGACGGCGCGTTTGCTTCTCTGATCCTTCCAGAAAAGAAATCGTCAACTGGAACCACGATGTCGAAAGGCTCGCAGAGTATATTCAGTACAGCGTGCGAAAAATAAAGGAAAGAATCAGAAAAATCTCTAGCAAAAACACGCAGCTTTCGGTGTATATTTTCCCCTCGAACGCGCTTTCAGGCGTTTTTCATTTCAGTATTCTCGTGATATACGAAATACAGTAAATCATTCATGAATGTTCGAATGCTGCTCGACGCACTGAGTGTTCAGAGGAACATTCGAACATTCATCGATGATTTACTGTACCGACCAAAAGTATTGGACCGAAGTTCATGGTTGATGGAACAGTAACTCATTATTGATTTCCAATCAGTTTCAGCACATTCCATTTATCAAAACATTGTTGAATCTAATATTTTTCTTCTTTAAACATCAAACACCTGATCCCATACTTTTCATCGATAGTTAGTGTAACGTATGGTTTCGTGCGATTTCAGGGATTTTCACGACATACCTTCGATTAAAGTACCATTCTCTCCCTCTCTCTCTTTCTTTTTATTAATGAACGGACGCAAATGGCTCTTGCAAAAATACAATTTGTTATCTCATTATCATTCATCATTCTCGCCGTTACTCTAAAAAAAAGTGTTACACTCTACCTACTCTCCTCTCTCCACTTGAACTTTCGTCCTTTATTATAATCATCATATCGCCGCTCGATCAGGGGTTTTTGTATTTGTTTTCGGGGCCCGCAGCGGTCGAAGTGTGCTCTCCCCGTGCTCGTCGGAAGCGATCCATCCGCGGTGGCAAGAAGGCCGTCATAAAACACCGGTCAAAAACGTTCTCCCCGTACGAACACACATATCAGAATTTTCGTGGAAAAATTTCATCGATCATCCCCGCCGATCGTACACCGCATATATCCCCCTTCCCCTTTGTCGAAGCGCGTGCAACGAACTCGATCGTATACCCCCACTCCGTGCAACAGCATGCACATCTCTGCCGTAGTTACATATAATATAGCGCAATATATTATATAATAATATACAATATGTTTTCTTATCGTTCTAGAACTCTAGCAACAACGAAAAAAGAACAAAGGAAAAGAAAAGAGAATGTGTCTGTGATCGAGGAAATTTTTCGCGGTTCGTGTCCCTTGAACGGGAGGGGATAGCCCTAGGCCCTTTATGAAAGGGCGCTCGAATCGACAACTGTCCGGTGTGAACAGCGTTCGTTTTATAAGTTCTTTCTATCGTCGTCGTTATACTAAAAAAAAAAAAAAAATCTTCTCGCGCGCGCGCGCGCGTGTGTGTGTATTTTTGTTCTATCTTTCTGTACATCTCGTCATCGTGGTCGCGGTTGGTTCGACCAGGTTGGTCCTCCTCCAAGCGTGTTGTCGACGACCACCGGTAACGAGGAGTCGAAAAGAGCCGAGGGACGAAGGAAGAATCGCGGTGGAGTCTCGTGCCGTGCCGTGACGCCATCGTTCGCGGCCCAGCAGCTCGAACGATCGGTCGTGCTGAGTGGCGATCCTCCTCGTATCCGGGGCTGCTCGACTGTTGTTGTTGCTCCCTTGATCTTTCCCGATCATCTGTCAGGCAACGACCAGTCCGGCGGTAGCGTGCACGGAGCAGATCAACCGTGGTCACTCGAGACTCCTGATCAAGACCGCGAGCTCGCGGAAGATCGCGCCCAGTTTGCCCGGGATTGTGTGCTTCTTCAGGAGGACCCCGCGGATCGTTTGGAGCTTCTCGTAGCAGGCGAGGCACTTGTGGTATCTGGCGAATACGGTGAAAAGTTGTCTCGTTTTACTTGGATGTTTTTTTTTATTTAGCTTCCGTAGCTTTTGAGGGGATCTACGGTGACGGCGACAGATTTTGTTTTTTGGAGTATTCGAAAAGAATTTTGAATTTCTTTCAGATCGATATGTGTCTTTGAATTATTAGGTGTATATAGTGTGATCGGTGACAAAGTGTTCTGTTAATATTGCCTTTGCTATGTGACTTGAGCTTTACTTCTACGTGCCTATAATTCATTATTTGACCTTTAACCTGTAGAGGACGGACAGGTTCTGTAATGACTATGTTCGAGTTATAACTTTTATATGTATATCTGTTGTATGGTGTTATACTACAGAAAATAGACTTCCCGTCCTCTAGAGGGTAACTACAGACGACTCGTCCCGCACATGAATAATCAAACGACTAATTCACGAAAATTCAGAGTCGTCTGTACAATTAAGGGTTGATTCCCATTTAGAAATTTTTTTTCCCAGATATGTTTCGCTTACCGTTCCTCCCGCGACACGTCCACACCGATCGTGTGCAGAGGCGCCTCCACGTTCGACTTTATCACCGACGCAAAGTTTCGCAGGATCAACCTCAACGCTGCGGCGCCCACCATTATGTACCTGAAACAATCGCGATCGAGCGACCGACACAACATACATTTACAACTGTGTACCGATTCATATTTCATCGATCAACGATTTTATTCAGTCGTTTGTTAACGATTTCAGGGAACGTTTGAACGAAAAACATGCAACGCCAAACGACGCCGAATACAAAAGAGGGAAAAACGATGAGAACACACCACGCTTCGGTTACGAGAGAGATCGACCGCCCACCGGTGCCCAAGTGTCACGCCTAGTTTGTTCCGAAACGTGTTATTAGCCCATAACGACGCCAATAAATAACGAAAGGCACGAAAAGGCTTAGGCGGGCCGATTGGCCACGCTCGCTTTCGGAACGGCGATAAAGGGTTCTCCGCGGGCGGCTGCTTCGCTCCCGTTCGGATCGGCGCGACGAATCGGCGCGGACCGCCTCGTAAATGTTCCGCGCGTAACGTCCGATCTCGTACGCCTCGAAAGTTTTCTGAATCATCTACAAAGTGTTTAGATCCTATATGCCAGTTGCTCACAATCCTCTAATGTCGTCTCGCAACTTCTATACTGTCTTGAAACATATTTTTATTCAACAATATCACTGGTTATTATTTGGTACATTTTATATATCGCACAGGACCGGATGGTTAACTGTTATTAATCGCCATTCACCTCTGTCAAGCCGCGTGTAACCTCTAAAACGTGAACTAGGATTCTAGAACTCTACTTTTGTTTCATTAAAAAATTGTTTACTATTATGCAACAGAATTTATTAGCAGTGGTAACTCATGAAATTGCACTAATAATATTTGTTTTTCACACCGCCCCAGAGTGTTTTCGTTCACGAAAGAGGGCTCGGGGGCAATCACGGAGGGAGGGATGATCGATACAAATCGGGAAACGACTGCGGAACGACCCCTCGAACGCAAGGCACGCGTCCGTCGTCCAGGATCCCCGAGAATATATATTCATCCGTTGCTCTTTCTTCTTTTATTTTTTTCTCACGAGCCCGGCCACCTTCGAACCAGGACGAACGCCCGTGACGAACGAACCGTGAAAACGGGCCGAGTAGTTACATGCAAACTGCACTGCATTATCCCGCGCCGCCCGAGATGTGTATATTTAGGCGGCTGCAATTTACCGGCCGGATTCACCCTTTCGCCGATTGTCGAACCGTGACACGGAAAGCACCGTAATCGGGTGTTGGATCGCGACGAATCGCGGTCGCCGTGAATAAGAATGGTCATTTTCGATGAATTACACGTTGAGTACACTTGGGAGGGGGGAGTTCCGCGTGTTGTGTTCTGCCCCGAAGATTTCGAGAACCATCGATATGTTCCTCGCGTTATTAGGGGTTAAATCGTTCATTCTAACGTTTACGATGAAAGTGCAATTGAATAATAAATAAGAAATGTAATAGTATTTACTATGTAATAGTAAACGATTCTATAAATTTATCAATTGTTAACGTTGGCAATAACTGAGAACATATAGTCGATAAAAGTTCGCTTGTCCATCGATGGAAATAGCCTTAAGGTGAACTGGGAGTTACTTACGACTGAACCTATTTATTTCATTCTTACCCAGTGCGAAAAGCGTGTCGGGAGACGACCAAGTTCCACGGTGGAACATGTTCTTTTGATTGCAGCTTAATCGTTTTTCGAGGGAATAGGCGGCGGAGGCAAGGGAGTCGCGAACGACTGAACACTCGTCTGTTACCGTGCGGGACCGTGGACAGCAGCTGTTGAGCGACCGACGATTAGTCCGAATCCACTTTTACGCGTGTAGGCTACGGTGGTGCACGCGAACGTGGTAAGAGACACGGGTCACCTGAACGATCGTGGTTAACGACCGTGAACTTGGCCAAGCCGCCTGATGGTAGAAACATGAATATTTGTTTGAATGTACACGCGAACAAGGACCAATGATAATGGTATAAACGGTTCGATAACGTTACGTTGAGAAATTGAAGAACCTTAGAAGATCCAGAGCCCTTTAAAGGATCCATAGAATTTGGACGAATCGATAACGTAATAGAAGATTCAAACTGATTACTGATTCTAATACACAATTAAGGACGTGAAAGAAACTTTGGGTCGATAACGAAATTTGAAGAATTATGAAAACCGAAGAGACCCTGATCGATACCACTTTGATCTCCTTAATAGCTGCTATCATCGTAGATTCAATCCCACGTCGTCATTATCGATCGAAGTGTACATTCTATTAATATCTAATGACACGAGACGAAGAGTTAAAAGGAAGAGTGAATACGATCGTCGCAATAAGCGGATGCGTAATGAACGGAACGGTGATTTTCCGGACTGATGACTTCAGATCATCAGCGGACGAAGCTATTATTAGATCGGTACTGATTGGCCTGTCATTAAATTCACATGAGAAAGGTTTTCAAGTCTAATCGAATAATAGCCGCGGGATATAATCGATCGGATGAAATGAAATGTTTCTCTTTTTTTCTTTCTCTCCGACACCTGCACATTGCAATTTTAAAGGGACGCCGTATAGAAACTGCAACGTTTTCAGCCGGCAACTGAGTAGGCGAGCGGAATTTATAATACACATGTTTATAATTAGAGGAAGAACGTAACAGGAGGAAACGGATAACCAATGCACACACGTGAAAGGAAATGCTCGTTTCTCGTCACGACAGCGCAACAGCAACAGCTTGTAACTGTGCGGCGGTTAATTAACCGGTTCCGAGTATTGCTCGCACGCGCCATTTAATTCGTTTCTTTGTTCCTTCAGAATCTTTTTCTTTTTGTTTAACCTCTTGCCGTACTTTGACGAGTCTCACTCGTGATCAGAATTTATCAATTTCGGGCCATATATTAGGCACTAGGTATATTTATGGTGGAGATAGCGGTTGATGGGGATAAGGGATAAAATTTAAACAGTCTCGGCAGTAGGGAACTTAAATAGAAACTCAGAATTTCCGCGCATCACGTTGCCTCGGATTTCGCCAAGTTAAATAGTACGACAAAGGGTTAAACGTCGACGATCCAACGTGACTGAAAAGAAATTAAATTTAATACAAAGTTTAAAATTATCCTATCCAGGCTTGTCTACGCTTAAACAACAACATTAAAGAATAAAAGAACGAAGGACACAAAGCCTGTGTGAATCGAAGGTCCTACTGAACCCAACACCAGAATCCAGGCCGACCATATCGTTCTTCCTACGCCGTCATTAATATTCATGATCGACCGTCGGAGAATATAAAAAGAAAAAAAGAATACACGACAAAAAGGATTTATCCGTGAAGAGTGTCAACATATGCATCGACATACGCGTGGCCCGTCGAGTCCTCTGATCGTCGGAACAATACGACTCGCGACAGCGAGGATTCGATCCTCGAATTTGCATCTGGCACTGTCCTCCATTGTCTCGGCTAATTTCGCGAACCCTCCTTCCCGTCGCCTCGTATTTCCCCCGTTCGTCGAATTAGCCATTCCCATACAGGGTGACGTCGAGCCACGTGAAGTACCCGGGCCACCCCACTCGAAACGACCCTGTCTACCGGCAGGGCTCGCTCGCGTGCTGCGAACGCCCAAGCCATTCGAGAACTCGCCCCTAACCGACGCAAGGGGTGTCTCGATTTTCCTTCGTTCACGTACCGTGTAGCGTTACACGTTTAAAACGGGAGTAATGTTAGACAATGATACGCTCGAACGGACGACACCGAGTGTGTCTGTTTTCAATTCTCTAAGAAATATTGTTAAACAAAAAAATGAAGTTCCTTTGAAGTAGTGTGTTCTTGTTTTTCTCTCTTAAGACTTTTTCTTCAGTTCAAAACGATTGATTGGAAACAAGGATATTACTAACAATTTGTATCAGGAAATTGTAAATACGTTGTACTCACATTTCGTATTTACTTTGCAGTAGATCGCCGATTGGGCCGAGTAGAGAGTTACACAAATCCAGGTTCCACATTGCTCTGAGAATAGGAAGGATATGATTAGATAACGCAGAACCGTGAAACAGAGTGGTTTTAAAAAATTGTATTACTTACGGTTTTAGAGTCAGTATCCCCAACAAATCGACGATAACCGAGAGATCGTTCATCGCTACAGCGGACTCGACCGCAGCCTGAAAGTGTAATCGTTTATTCCGATGTTATTATTTCTATTGTAGTGATACAGTGTGTAGACACATAGATTGTAATGCACAACAAACGATGAGTTACCTTAAGATCCTTGTGTTGCATAAGAGAGTAAATGATTTGCAACGACCGATGACGATTCGTCAGTACAGCCATCATCGACTCATGGCCGCGCATCATGCTGTTAAGCACTTCAGCCTCGGACATTTCGTTGAGAACTCCCATTTGGGGATACCCAAACGCCGTTGAACCCGCGAAATGATTCTGTCCGAAACATTCCCCAACATCAGTCCAATCTGTACGATATATTCTGACCGTACAATAAACCGATTTCACAGTATATACTCACAGGCAGGAAAGTTTCGACGTCTAAACCGTAAGGTTTATCCGCGCTCATAGGGACGAATTCTTCCTTTTCCGTTGTCTCGACGCTCGGCCTCAATTGAGACGCTCGGACGTCTACCTTAGGATTCGGAGGCACTTGAGCTTTGATGGATTTCTTTGTCGCGAACGACGTGGTGGTAGTGGAAGCGTTGCGTGCAGACAGCGACGATGAGGTAGTAAAGTTTCTGTTTAGCGAGGTGGACCTGGACTGCGCTGAGTTCGGCCTGTTTAACGCTGGATCGGAGGGGCTATGCCTTATACTATTAATTCTACAAGGAAATCACAATTTCTCAACACCGTATAGAAAACTGAAATTATATTTAGGGAAAAAGGGTATCTGTATACTTACTGTACCGGATAATCGCTTTCGTAACCCTGTTCTCCGTCCCTACAGCTACTCTGTCGCTTTAAGTAATGCTTAGGAGAATCCGGGCTAGGTGCTCTGTTCTTCAACTTTCCATCGTCCATCACTGGAAGAACGGCAGCCATTGGCGCCACCCGCGGTGTCAGTGTCGAATTCGACCTTTGAGGGCCCAATGGTTGTGGAAGCGTGCCTATATCACTACTGGTGCCAATCTTTTTACCGGGAAGAGGAGTAATGCTCTGCCTGAGGGGAGGTATAGATGCCAAATTCTTTGACGCTCTGTTAAGGCCATTATTCGTTTGTAGGTTCTTAGCTTGACTCGTTGTTGTCACTGCGTTCCTCTGAACAGGCGGCGACGATTTGATTGGCTGAACACGCACTGGTACTGACTTAGTTAACGATAACGTTGGTGCGGGCGGTGGTGGAGATAAGGGTGATGACACTGGTGGAACTTCCTCTGGCTCCGCCGTATTTAGATTTGACATTGAGGTAGAAAGATTTTGTAATATCTGTGGCTGCGTGGGATCTGAAAAAAGGAAATAATATACACGGTATAATGTAGAAGACGTGTGGTCGGAATAAATGCGTGCAAAGATTGTTAAGTCAACGTTCATGCAACGTTGGTATCAAAGAAGGAAGAAGATTGGGAAGTTTACGTGGAACTCACCTATATCTTGAGGCTCCTGGAAAGCCTCAGGTTCTGGAGGTGGAGTGCGAGACACTGAAACATACCGTGCATAGCATGCTCATTCACAAACTGTACGACACAACATTCAGATGCATTTGTATATTCAGGCTTGTGATTACAGGTGGATAGTTACAAGTTGGAAGAGAAGAGAGTTTGAGTTAAGTTAGGGTACACAATGAAATCTTGCAACGGAGAGTTGAATAACAGGTACTGTGATACTTACGTGATCTGTTTGGTTGAAAAACGTCGTGATACTCGGTGACATTGGGTATGTCCGCATACGTTGCCTCATCTTCTGGATCGGTTCCAGACTTATCTGCCTCTTCTATAGTTCGTACATCTAATCTATAAGTAACACATCATGGTTACTACATATAAAACAATAAATGATCTTAAGCTACTTGATTTAACTCACGTATGTTTCTTTAGTCCAGGCGGTCGTTCCCTCGAGAAGCTTTTCCTCAAAGAATTCCCATGACTGAACGGCGAATCAGACGTCGATACTCCGCCCAATGGAGCAATTTTTTTTAAATCACATACATATAACACGATGTTGGCAGTATGTAAGCTGGCACCAATCTGAAACGTTTGTGAATAGATTTGTACAAATGATTTATCGTATGTGTATCAATTTCTCTTGAGTATCGACTTACCAACTGGTTCTGGGCTACAGCTATATCCTGTACTTTCGTCCAACCAGTCGGAACTGAGTCTAACGTTCGACCCGGTTCCCAACCATAGACTTTTAACACATCATGGCAGCCAGCAAAAAGACATTCTCCACCTTGACTGAAATAGAGGCACCTGACGAACGAACAAAATGTTTCGATAAAATATTTAAGATCTGTGGTAATACACACACATTGAAACATATGAATATTCACCGAATAGCTGTTGAGTGACTTTGATCTGTAGATGATACAAGCTGAAATGATTCCAAGTCCCAAAAGTGAACTGTTCTATCTGCACTGCCACTAGCTAATAAGAATTCATGGGGATGAAATTCTACTGTTGTTGCTGGGCCTCTATGTTCTGTGAATTCTCTAAGCTGTCTACCAGCTCTTAAATCCCACAACTAATTAAAAGAAACATGGAATTATTAAACACTACCACTAGTTTGTATTTACAGTAAAGTAATCTTGAACTGATTCTACCTTAACCATTCCTTCCTCTCCTGCACTAGCAATCCACTGACCATCAGGACTGAATTTTAGACTGTTCACCATCCTATTGTGCCCTTTGTATGTGAAGATACAGCCTTTCCTCCTGATATCCCACAATTTAATCGCAGTGTCCAAGCTACCAGAAGCCAACAACTCTCCATAAGGATGAAAGTCCATACAACGTATGCCTGCTTTGTGTCCTGTTAATGTTCTGGCCAATTTAGCATGCTCCAAATCCCAAATTTTCAGTGCTCCTGTTTGCGAGCCAGCGCATACTAAGTCCTCTGTTTGTCCAAATCTTACACATTCTATTGGAGTAGTATGACCACTCAGGCTCTAAAAACAATATCAGTTACCAATGAATTCTACTCTCTCAATATCAAAAGTAATGATTCTATCTCAACTTTGCTCAAGTAACCCAGTAGAATGATCTAACATACCATAATACAATTCTGCTTCCCAACAGCCCATAGGTTCACTTTCTTGTCATCACCACCAGTAACCAAAACGCGTCCAGATTTGTGACCCAATGCCAGGCAATTGACATTGGACGTGTGGGCAACAAAATCCTCTGCGAAAAAAGAAGCATCTCTGATTCAAACGAACTTGAACAGAGTGTCAGGTGCCACTGACATCACAAAGCCAATCCATTCCACGATCCGGCGAAGGTTATGACCATAATGGGAAGATGCAACTGGGAAATTAATCAGTGGGATCCCCGTCGATCACGTTGTAAACATGAATTGTTTACCCGTTATCGGGGAGTAGAGCGCCAGAAAAGAATTCATTGAACGCGCACCATGCACACCGATGTATCGGATAAAGTGGACGGAATACGACGAGGATGACCACTTACGGAGTTTCCATGACCTCTTCGTGGACGAAGCCATGTTCCGGGGCCGCAGGATCGCGGTCTACACGACTTATTTGGCAACGACAACAATTCGAGATTTCAGCTTGCAGATGCACGATTTTTTTTTGCTCGGGCTCGTCGGTAACATTTTTACTTTCTGTTTGTGATCTCAGTACGGTGGCGATCGTTCAACGGGGCGACAGCATCTCGCCGCGGCACGGTCTTCGGGGCGATCCTCCTTTCCTTGAAGTTTCTGTCCGTTTTCAGAGACCGTTCGTTCCACCTCTTCGTCGTATCTCATTTCTTGAATCTGCCTGTCCGTGGGTAGCGCGAACTAACGTGACGTTGAGAAATATCGAAGTTTCTGTTTCTGTATCGAGATCGCGTTCCAATCGATCGCACCAGATGTCACCAGCTCCCCGGTCAATTAAACCGGACCCGGGTGGCAGGTGTCAAGTCAAACATGGCCGACAGTTCAATTAAAGTGGACCGGTATTGCGGAATAGCTAATCGAGATTGGTTGATTATGTTATTAGAATGCACCGACTTATTACATGACATACATATGTTATGCGGTACATGACATAATCAATGCTGATGACGTACTGTTGACTGGTCGAAATAAGGTTACTTTATTCGAATGAACTATAGCTCCATTTGTACTGGGATAATTCATCTGACTTGACAGTTTGCTTGACAATATTTTTTTTTTATTATCAACAGTAGTCTTGTTACGAATTTATTCCACAAAGTATTATTAAGAGTATATAAGGTAACAGTCAATGCAATAAATAAGTTATCAAGGTAGAATAAATGGGAGGTTTCTTGTATACAGCAAAAATTTCGCATGTAACTTGAAATTGTTGTGTGCTAGGTGATTTGCATTGTTCGTAAAATAAGATACAATGTTCCCATATTTACGGCCATATTTACTCACAATCGCAGTTAAAAGGTTTCATTATGAAATACCTACAAGACATCTAGTAACATATGTGCAAGGACAGTCTCCAGAACATAGAATTCGAGAATATTTTTATTACATTGATCACCAAGGCATGGTATAATTTATTCTTTGATTAGATTCTAAACGTTTGCAATTATAAAGCTATAGAATAACTGAAGATCTTTCTCCTTTGTTCTGCTATAGTTGTTCTTGGATGATGCTCGTATGAAAAACTTCACCTCATGTTTCAAAGGTAGACACAGATCTTAAAGGATACATTTTAATATGTATATGTTGCAATTTGTATATAACTGAAGATATGTGATTGTAGATAAAAAATTTTTGGCATTCTTCTTCAAACGATTAAAGAAGAATGATACAGGAAGGTATACAAAAGATTTTCCATATGTTTCACTGTGTGGTCCAGAAAGAAATTTTATCAGATGCGATGATCTGCCAATAGTCTTTACAAAAGTTGTACAGCTACAGAATAATGAGACAGGAATAAAGGAGGATTGGTTTGGCTATGCATATGCAGAAGAATTACTGATGGTATATATAGTTTCAAAATATAGTCCAAGTAATTATTTGATTTAATATAGAGTAATGAATTCTTTGTAGGTACCATTTGAACCAGAAAAGTTATACATGAATATTCAGACAGGAAGAGTATACCATCCTGCATCGGACAAAGCAGGTGGAGTTGGTCTAGTGAGATCGAAAATAGCAATCGAGTTTAGTTCACTATTTAATTTCGAAAATGGTGAAGAACATAGTCCAACTCATTTCGTGTGGAAAAACCAAAGATATTCCCTTGACTCTGAATGGTGCAAGGATAAAGTACTACAGACTATCAGCTAAAAATAAATAAATTTTATTTTTAGTTAAAAAAGAAAACAAAGTACGATATATATATATGAACAACTTTCATAAAATGTACATAGATTTTAGATAATAACAAAGATTTATATACTTTTTCTATACAATAGATCACATTATGATAGAGTTGAAATATCAAAAATCCTAGCTGTAGAATCATCAGATGTCGTTAATGCTTTTTCTCCGTTTCTGAAAAGTATTGACATCATGTCCTGTTTCATTTAAACTCTATTACTCAGTAATAATTTTAAGTTGCTGTAACTTACTCAGATATATATAGATCAAGAATGTCTGCAGTGTGTCCTGTGAACGAATGTATACATTGACCAGTTCTTGCATCAAAACACCTGAGAAAACCATCTAATCATAATTCCGGTAAAAGTCAGTTTCTGCAATACCACATAGGGTTATATTTAAGTAGTAAAAGTGGTATTACCTGTTTTGAGATATCCCAGATAAAGATTTCTCCATTAACTGTGCCAGTTGCAGCAACTGGAAGTACAGGATCCTTACAGAAAGCTGCAGTCTCCACCCAATTACTATCAACATTTCCTTCACTACTCTCAGCATCTTGGTTAGTATCCGCAATACTATTTTGTTCGCGATAATTTAAATTTTGTAGAACAGAAACTATCTAAGAGTTTTAAATCATATTATTTTAACTCTCCAAATTCATAAAATCTTATTTTTTATTACCTTGCCTGTACTTGCAGTACTAACTATAGTTTTTCCATCTACAGCTGCTGAAAGGACTAGATTATTATCTGGATGACAGTCAAGACTAGTTATGGTAGAGGAATGACCTAATGGGGAAGTTATTGATGATAAGATTGAGCTTGTTTTCAAATCTATTATCCTAATCATTCCATCTTCATAACCAACTGCCATACGTTTGCCTAAAACAATTCCAGTACAGTAAACTGTAATTTCTTTAAATATGAAATTGCTCTGAGAAATGAATACCATCTGGGAATATTACACCAGTCTCTGCCCGGCAACCATATCCTTGAAATACTTTGCAATCTCCATCGGGTATTTTCCACATATATATTTCTCCATCAACAGATCCTGCTAACAGAACATTTGCAGCAATGTGCCATTTCATCCACTGTAATAACAAAAGTCGTTTTTAACTATATTATCATTCAGAACTTAAAGTGCAATTACATAAATCAAACTCACTGTTGCATCCCCCATGTTGTAATCCCAAATCTTAACTTTATCCATCACTCGCCAAACTTGTATCATACCACTCATGTCTCCAGTAGCTAGGTAAGATTCATCGTGACTAAATTCTGAAAAGATAATACTATCTTTGTGTCCGGTACAGTCAAGAATAATCTCTCCAGATGATGTATCCCAAATGTAAGCCTTATCTTCTTCACCTCCAGAGGCAGCTAATTTTCCATTTTTAGTCAAGAAACCACAAAAAACTGACCCTGAAATTTTTACATACTATCACAGTAATTTATAATATTAGTCTTATGGCTGTAATTGGAATTTTCTTGACCTCGTTCATGGCCAGTGAATACACACGAAGCGTTGCTTGCTTCTACAGGATCTTCAATTATATCTTCATCTCTAATATCCACTTCATACGCCTCTATCACTTCTTCAACATTATCCGCATATATCATATCCTCATCCTCCATCTGATTATGCATGTTGGCTGGAGAGGATGGTGGTGTATCTTTCTGCGTCATTTACTTCAATATCTAATAAAGCGTGCAACAGGTCACGTTTTAAAAGGGTTACAAGTATATGTAACTAAGATGCAGATGAAATAAAGTAGACACAAAAATAATCACTTATTGCCCAACTCATATAAAAAATACGGGTGTCTATGAATTCTTACCTTCGTTAAAAATTTAAGATTGAAACCGATAGTTTCTCGTTCGTAAAAATGAAAATTCAAATATCGGTCAACAACACTCAGATCTCGTGAACACTGGTGAACAACAGCTGATTTAGAAATCTCGTGCAGTAATACTCGTGGGGAATTTTTATCTGAAGTTGTTGGTACTAATAAAATCCTCTTGGTCATTTCAGAGTTACGACATCTACTATAGGGAGACAGAAACAATTGTACCACAGACGAGAAAATTATGTAAATGAAACTTTACACAGATGTTACACCGTTATACGGATAGTTTTCGTCTAGATAAAGCACTCGACTTGTAGCTGAAAGAACGTAGATTAATCCCCTGCCATTGAAAATAATAATAAACGACCAGAACACTGTCAAAATCGCATTTAATTGTGGAATACCACTATTTTTACTGGTGGCGCCACCCGTGGCGAATCGCTGAAACTGCTAGCCAAATTATAGGCGATGCATCAGAATAGATGTAGTTTCATAAATAGTTTATCAAATCTATATGTGGGGGAAAATATACACCGCTTTTATTAAATTTACATATTTATAATTTATATGGGAGTATGAATGTTCAAGAAGAGGTAAAGAAGTTTCATATTATGTTATTCCCATTCATTACAATTTCCCTTGCGGGAATGCCTTACCGTCATGAGCCGTCTCGTAGCGGGATTCCGGGAATCGGGTGACATCCCGGCGTGCGAGTGAGAGCGGTAGAGCGAGCCGCGGTATCGGTGCTCTCCGTCGGTGTTGACGCGTGCAGAGGAATTTCAGTGGTCTATGGGGGAAAGCGTGCGAGCGAGAGAGTACGGTAGAGAGTGCTGCGTATCGGTTCTCTCCGTCAGTCCAACGCACTAGTAACGTTGCGTCACACAGTTTATTGACTTAGCCGTGTACGCCGTGTACCAAGGTCGTACCATCCCGTGCAGGTCTGTGCTTGCTTCCTCA